GAATCGAGTTTCGATGGTTTTGGTAGCTTCGTATGATGATTTCGGACTTGGGTGTATGTTCGAAACGGGTTTTGGATGACCCGGGAGCGTTTCGCCGCCCAATAATGAAATATGAGTTTCTTTAAGTTCAAATTGAGGTTTGGAACGTGTTTTTGTGCTATCAAGGTCCGAACAGAATTTCGAGACCGGGAATAGTTCCGTCATGTCATTTATGACTTGCTTGCAAAATTTGGTGTCATTCTGAGTCGTATAGGTAGGTTCGGCGCATTGATAACGAATTCAAGAACTTAAAGTTCTTAAGTTTGAATCTAGGGGTTTTGAGGTGTGATTTTGAGTTTTAGCGTTGTTTTGGGTGTTCCGAAGGCTCGAACAAGTCCATATTATGATTTGGGACTTGTTGGTATATTTGGAAGGGGGCTCGGGTGGGCCCAGATGCCGCCCGGGCATCGAACGAGGCTAAAAACCAGCAAAAATAGTTGTTGGTGCACCAGATCTGGTGCGGCCGCACCTGCGGTGGCCCAGTCGCAGGTGCGAGACCGCTTCTGTGGTCCCAGCCTCGCAGATGCGTCCCCAGGTGTGTTCACCCATTTTCGCAGGTACGGCTAGCTTTCCGCAGAAGCGGAGCCGCAGGTGCGGACTCCTCTCCGCAGGTGCGAGCCCAGACCTCTTTGCCCATATCCGCAGGTGCGAGATTCATCTCGCAGATGCGAGACTACAGGTGCGGTCCTCGAGCCATGGTGCGAAAAACTTGTAGGCAGTAAGGTTCTTTTAAAAACACAGGAATGAGCCATATTTCACCATTTCTTTCCTCCATTGGCGACCTTAGGAGCTTGAAAAAGAGCCAAACGACCTAGCTACTGAAAGGTAAGTAATTTCTACCCTAATGTTAGTTTAATACTTGAATTCCTAGGTAAATTAACATCCTAAATTAGTATAAATCAAGGGTTAGAGTAAAAACCTAGGCCTTTATGAAATTTAGAGAATTTCCCACTAACTAGTTATGAAATCATACAAAAACCATATATTAATGATCCTTAGGTTATGGGTAAGTGTTTTCTTCGAAAATTTCTGGAATCCGAGCATGTGGGCCCGGGGGTGTATTTTGAGATATTTCAAAGTAGGTTAAGATAGATAATTAAATAGGGCAATTTCATGCTTTTGAGTATAAATTAATTTATTTATGCAACATTTGACTAATTTCGAGTCCCTGGGAGACGAGTTTGGAGTTTCGGGCGCATTCTTGACCCGGAAAATAGGCTCGACACGAGGTGAGTCTCATTTCTAACCTTGTAAGAGGGAATTGTCCCCATAGGTGCTTATAAATAATTACATGACTTGATTGCGGGGCTACGCACGCACGAAATGACAAGAGTCCGTGCGTAGCTACTATTATGCCTTGTCGGGTAGTTTAGGATTCACAAGCATGCCTTATGTGTCGTATCTGTGTTCTTACATGTGGTTTAGGTAGTCTATTATCCTTGAATTTCGCACATGAAAGCCTAGGAGGTTATATTTTGAAGTTACATTATTGAATCCTTTTCTGCTAGTATGTTCCCCGCTAAACTTCCTGGAATTTCCTGTTAAGTATGTGTATATGTATACGGGAACCTGCGTCGCATGTATGGTTCGCGAGCGGGGTAACCCTAGTATTATGTTGACCGCGTCGCATGTTCGATTCGCGAGCGGGGAAGATAGATGCATCTATGGTTCGAGCCGTTCGAACCTTCGGCAGTGCACATTTACTTTTCACGTCGTATTGGCCATACGTTCACGGCCTGTTATGTGTTTGATAGTTGATGGGAAACCCTGTAATTGTATCTGTTGATTTTTATGAAAAGGAAAACTAAGTAGCTTGTATGCTATGGAAATTGACACGTAAAGGTAATAGAGTATGTTATTTGATGCTCCTGTCCTTATTATTGTTCATTACTGCTATCTTTGTTTAGCCTGTATTTATAGTATATTGTTTGGCTCTAGTAAGTATCACGTCGACCTCTCGTCAATACTTCTTCGAGGTTAGGAGGGATACTCACTGGGTACATATCTGTTTATGTACTCATGCTATGCTTTTGTACTTAATTGTACAGGTTCTGAAGCGGGTGCATTTGGTTATCAGGCCGGAGCTCGATCCTGAGTTATTTCTGGACTTGACTTCACGGTGAGTTGCTTCACTTGACGATCTTCAGCAGCGCTATAGAGTCTTCTTTTGTTTATCCATGTCTAGTTCTTCAGACGATCTTCAGTAGCGCTACATTTTTGAATTGTTCTGTTATAATTAAATAGACCTTGATGGAAATAAATTAAGTTCGTTCTAACATTGAATTGTCTAGCAAGTGTGGTGTTAGGCGTCATCACGATCCCTAAGGTTGGGAATTTGGGTGGTGACAATTAGATTGCCATTTACTCTCCCTAACTGCCTTGGCATAAGGGTAGTTTTCTACCGTGTTTCTGGGAGTATTTTTTCACTCAACTTTGGGTCATAATAAATGAATCTCTCTATCTTAAATGCAATGTCTTTCCAACCTGCATTCAAGGCCAGCTCTGGGATAATAATGACTGACATTTCCTCTCCCTTTAATGACAAGATACTCATGTACCTTCCGCGGGCATTAAATTTCCTAGTACAGAAAAATTCTGTTAGATGTTCCTTGTTCTTCCATCTCCTCACTAGATTCTTCTGATCTTTTGAAGCTTTTAAGTACGAAGCATAACCATTCCATTGTCTTTTTACCATAGATGAGTGTCTCATCATGTTACAACTTCTCTCTACCCATTCGAACCATGTGTCTTTGTTGGAGTTCCATTTAGTGATATCAAAAGATATGAAGTCGGCATTGAAGTATATCCTGTTTTCTCCCATATTAGTTCTAAACAACAGCTTTAATTATGTGAAAAGGAAGAGGAAAGGTTTGGTAGTAATCCCAGTGGGCGATTACTGATTTAGAAGTAAGAAGAGAAGGTTTGGTAGTAATCCCAGTGGGCGATTACTGATTTAGAAGTAAGAAGAGAAGGTTTGGTAGTAATCCCAGTGGGCGATTACTGATTTAGAAGTAAGAAGAGAAGGTTTGGTAGTAATCCCAGTGGGCGATTACTGATTTAGAAGTAAGAAGAGAAGGTTTGGTAGTAATCCCAGTGGGCGATTACTGATTTAGAAGTAAGAAGAGAAGGTTTGGTAGTAATCCCAGTGGGCGATTACTGATTTAGAAGTAAGAAGAGAAGGTTTGGTAGTAATCCCAGTGGGCGATTACTGATTTAGAAGTAAGAAGAGAAGGTTTGGTAGTAATCCCAGTGGGCGATTACTGATTTAGAAGTAAGAAGAGAAGGTTTGGTAGTAATCACAATGGGTGATTACTAATTTAGAAGAAAGAAGAGTTAGATTCGGGTGAAAAGGTACGTCGGAAAAGGTATTCTGCAATCCTAGGAAGTAGGAAAGAGAAGATTCTTGGGAAGGGTGCATGGGAGCATTTGCTGAGCATATTCCTATTCCCGTCTCTTCAATTTTGCTTGCATTTTTTCAACAGTGATTCTATGAAATCTAACATACTCTATTCATCTTTAACATCCTATAAGTTATACCAAAAAGCCAAAAGCCATAGCCACTTAAGTTTAATCCTATATTCCCTGAGAAACATTTAGCATTTCTTTCCTTTCATAACCCAACACGCATAGGGATGGCACTGTCTCCATATTTTTCTCACTGATTTCTCAATCCTCCAACACCGACAGCTGGTCAATAGATCCATCGCAGCGTATGGCATTACAAAAGGGACTTTGAATAGATTAAAAAACAAAGCCCGAATCTACCTTGTGACAGGGCACTGCAGAAAAAGGTGACTGATTCTTCCTCTGCACTGTTACACAAGAAACACCTCTTGCATATAGATAAACCTCTTCTCCGGAGGTTGTCCTGAGCGAGACATGCTGTCATGATGTGAAGCTAGCCACAACAACGAGTGATTTCATAGGGTGCCTTCGACTTTCATAACTGCTTCCAAGGCCAACTTGTGTGTTGCCCTCTTCCCTGTTGTCTGTTGATTGACTTGTAGCAAGAATTTACAGAGAAGTGTCCATTTTTTGTCTCCAGATCGAGTGCCCCTCAAGATGGTGAAGTTGCTCTTTAAAGAAATCACCCTACTAAATGTATGTCAAATTTCATGTTTGTGTGGCAAGTAAAAATGCAGCTAAATACATGCAATAGAAATAGGGCTGACTTTGTAAGCAATAAGCAGTTGAATTCCTCAAAGCAAAGCCAAATCTATATGTATTGAATTTCCTTGATAAACCATTCCAATTGCATTATATGAAAAAACCATTTATTTTTAATGCTTGATAACTAGCATAAAGGCGCTAGAACAAGAAGATGATGTCACAGGTGAAGGGAAAGAAGACGTGGACAAATTTCCCAAGATCATATAGATATGGTTGTCTTATCAGAGAGAAATAGTCACGCTCATCCATAGCCAACAAGAACTACGGACGAATTAGGTGAACTATTTGCCTAGGATGCATAAGCTAGTGTGATCAGTTCCATGAAGATATTCCTTCTGGAGGGTCGTATTCAAAAAATGTCCAGAGTAAGATTGATAGGTTGGTAGCTAATTAGTATGTCACCTCCCCATAGATGAAATTTTTCTGTTTATATAATTGTTGTTTTGGTTTATAGTTGTTTTTCTTGACCTAAATATAGAGTCATTTATCTTTCCCTTCAATTGTGCCTTTCTTCATTCATTCAAGAGCGCTTTGTTGATGCTTTGTGCTCAATTCACCAAGAGAATCCGTTATGAGAATTTCTATTAACAAGCTAAGTGTAAAAGCCCCATTCTTCACACACCCTCTTTACACAAACACTAGACAAGTATTATCAAGAAGGAATTGATTGACAAAATTAGAAGTAAAATAATAATTTCATTCAGTAAAGAAAGCTAGGAATCAAAGTAAAGACAAAGCAATAGTAAAAGTAAACTCAATAACTTATAGAGCCCTATGGCAGGCAAAATAAACTAGTCTAAATCAAGAGAGGGAGAGTTGCTGAAAATCCAAAGAGGTGGAGTGAGTTTATGGTAAGATTGACCAGTGTAGTGAGGCACAATGGTTCCATCAAGCAAGTTGTATACGCCCATGTCTTTGCCACCGCCCTGTTCAAGACTGAAGTATGTGTCTTTACAATCATCTGTGTAATAAATATGGCTGCCCTTGATCCCATGAGCTAATTGTTCAACAACCACAGTGGCACTATTGCCAACGAACAATGCTCTATCTCCCAAGTCTTTAACCTCGGAATAACTGCTATCAATATCATTAATCTTGTACACATGGAATTGTTTAGCCCCATAAATCCCTGTATCATCGTCTTCATAAGCTCCGTCTCGATTAATCACTAATAGTTCACCCATTGAATAGACGATGTAAACTTGGTTGCCGTCAATTACCTCCGGAGGTATCTCAGATCTGATAACTCTTACAGATGTTGGATAATCTCCTGATCTGAAATCGAAGACGATAACGTTGCCCTCAAAATCAACACCATAGAATTGCCCGTCATGCCAAGCGATGTCAGAATAGGCACGCTCGGGTACTATCTGTGACACACTAGTAAAGGACTTACTTCCTGGCCTCCAGAAAGCAAAAGTCCGAGGAGAACCTTGAATTAGGGCCAAAACATAGTCTTCTTTTGAGATTAGAGGATCCGACGAAATCACCGCTTTTTCGACGTACTGAGTACAATGACCCTTTTCCACCTCGTAATCGAAACCCTCCAACATGTCCATGTCTGGGAGATTTATTAAGGAACGTGAGAAGAGATGGAAGAGATTCATGTGACCTTGTTCGTCCGCCGTGAAAAGCCAACCTGGAAATCCCACACCAAAGCAGCACTTCCCCACCAGTTCTGGAAAATTCATGCTATAGGTGACACCCTTTGACAAGTCCCAAAACTCACGAATTCCTTTCTTTTCTTCCTCCTCTGCTAGCATCAACAATGGAACTGCCACCGCCGCCACCGCCGCCGCCGCCGCCGCTGCCACCATGATTCTTTTTGACGATATAAACCGCAAAAATCAAAATTTACAAGTGTGTCTGTGTGTGATGAATTTGCAAGTACACCTATGGTCCCTTTTTATAGGCCTCAGGTGGAGAATCCTAGTTCGATCCTAACAAAGAAAAAAAAAAAATCCCAATTTGCTTCGGAAAAAAAGAAAAGAAAAAAGAATCCCAAATTTGCTTCGGAAAAAAAGAAAAGAAAAAAAAAATCCCAATTTGCTTCGGAAAAAAAAAAAAAAAAAAANTCCCTCAAAATTATTTCAGAGTGATTAGTTGTAAAAAAAAAAAAAAAAAAAAAGGAATCCCAAATTTGATCGAAAAGAAGGATCCTAATTTATCTATCTATATTTATATCCTCTATTGGGAGAAATTTAAAAATAACCAGATTTACAACTGGTCATTCAAAAATAGCCCAGTTTCAAAAGTAATCAAAATTTAACCATTTTTCATATAAAGATAAATCTGAGCGAAAACATTCAAAACCCGGAAAATACGCTCGTATATTATTATGCTGGAACTCCAGCATATTATATGGGAGTTCCAGGATAACTATGCTGGAACTCCTGCATAATATGTTAGAGTTCCAGCATAAGTACACTAGAACTTCAGTATAATATACTGGAGTTCCAGCAAGTATAAATGTCCAGTATAATATACTGGAGTTTGGAGCATCGGTGCTCCAGTCTCCCGTATATTATACAGGAGTCAGCAAAGTATACTGGTTCAACATAATATGCTGGAGTTCGTACACAGATGCACCGAACTCCCGTATATTATGCGGGACCGGTCTCTGTTGCAGCAAAATAGTGACTATTTTCATTGACTTCGTAAAAAGTGACTATTTTTAAATGATCAGTCCGAAAACTGGCTATATCGTGCTATTTTAACGATAAAATTAAAATTTAAGCCAATTTTCCAAATATATAGGACTTTGAAATCACCTAAAATTTTCGTTATAATATCTTTCCTTATTAAACTAGATACGAAGTCCTCCTGTTATTTAAGAGTTTAAAATCTATTAATATCTTACCTTATATAAAGTGTGCTATTTGAAAATAAATCCATAAATATAACATGTAGGATGTTTAACGTGATTAACAAATAGTAATTTATATAAACTCCTCAATTCTTCACGAAGCACTATAGAGAAGATATAAAATTCATTCAAAACACTAAGCACTTAAAATTGTCTCAACAATGAACAATTATCTATGCATTTTAAAGACTTCTATTTTTATCGTACAAAATTAATAGTTCATGTACAATTAAAATCATATCTAATCACTTAAATCACACACACACACACACACACACACACACACATATATATATATATATATATATATATTGCTCGCCCTTTTTACCCTTTTAGTATAGAGTTCATACTAGACAAAATCTTCATTTGATTATTTTTCTAATATTTATGCCTTTTAAATTAATTTAATTTTGACTATTAAATTTTTCTTATTTGAGTTAGGTAAAACACCTAATACTTAGAAATCTAATATCGAGTAAGATTTTACTTCAAATAAATATAAATTCTTTTCTTGTTTTAATTATCTTTTTTTTTTTTGTAATATTACTTAAGTTTTTCGAAACTTCCACAACAATAGTCATTCAATGACTCTAGAAGTCTTTCGCCGTAGTCCGTAGAATACGAACTGTCATCCATGTTTTGATTTTTTTTTTTTAAAAGGAAAAATGTGTGTGCCTGTTAAAGAAAATATACTACAATAATTGTTCTATTTACTTAACAATATAGTAGGGGGCTTTAAGCATTTCAAAGATGTTATGAATTTTTTAAAATAACGGCAACTTCGTTATTTTGGCTATATCTTTTTAATTAAGCTAGACAATAATAAAGCTCCAGCCAATTTTTCTTTTATGAATTTGATCCGAAAATAAAATATACAATTAAAATAAATAATTATTTTCATCTAACAAAAAATAATACACCTTTAGTACTTTATTATTTTAGCTAAAACTATTTTTATAGGTGTTTGCAACAAATTATATGTGATACAAAAATAAATTGCAACCACAATATAAATATGAAGAAACATAATTTTATTGATAAAATGATGTCGGTACAATTCTGTTTGTTCCCATGATTCTTCTATCCTGATTATCTCCGTAATTCGAGGGTTGAAGCAACGTATTTCTCGAATGTAGGATGATGCGGGCTTTCATGGATTTATTTGATATCCATGAAGTATGTTGTGGATCTTCTTGAATTATCTGATTATCAAGAAATATCCGGCCACTTCTTGATCTCTTTGTGAATATCCCTTGAGTTTATGGGATTTTCGAGATGATCTCCATTTTTTTAGATGCTTCTTCAAGGGAATATGTATCCCTTTATATAGGTGTGAGTTAGGGTTTAGGGTAGAGTAACCTTCAAGAAACTCTTATAGACTCCTAGGATTTCAAGAGTTCTATAGTATCTTGAATTTAGGATTTAACTTAATCCTTTAAAATTTCGATGTCTACAAATGCCCTCTACCTCAAGGTTTGTCGGAGTGTAGGCTTGCCGAAACTTAAAGACGAGATTTGAAGTACTCGACAATCGCAACAAACAATTTCGAAACTTAGAGTTTCGATGTATAGGAGGAAGAGGTGAAGGGCAGAACTGGTCCCACTGGGCGTGCCAATTTGTTTGCAACAAATTATATGTGATACAAAAATAAATTGCAACCACAATATAAATATGAAGAAACATAATTTTATTGATAAAATGATGCGGGTACAATTCTGTTTGTTCCCTTGATTCTTCTCTCCTAGTTATCTCCGTGATTCGAGGGTTGAAGCAATGTATTTCTCGAATGTAGGATGATGTGGGCTTTCATGGATTTATTTGATATCCATGAAGTATGTTGTCGATCTTCTTGAATTATTTGATTATTAAGAAATATCCGGCCACTTCTTAATCTCTTTATGAATACCCCTTGAGTTTATGGGATTTTCGAGATGATCTCCATTTTTTGAGATGCTTCTTCAAGGGAATATATATCCCTTTATATAGGTGTGAGTTGGGGTTTAGGGTAGAGTAACCTTCAAGGAACTCTTATAGACTCCTAGGATTTCAAGAGTTCTATAGTATCTTGAATTTAGGATTTAACTTGATCCTTTAAAATTTCGATGTCTACAAAAGGAACAGGTAGAGGTCGAGCATTAGGGTGGTAGACTAGGGGATAGTCGAGTGTTCTTCCCTCTTTGTTCCGGTTAGTCTGATAGAGTTTTGTTTAGGTTTGTTAGAGGTCTATATTGTGTTCACATTGTTGTTTTGCAGAGTTCTGGGCTATTGTCCTTTCGCTCATTTGTTATTATTATTTCCTTTCTGGCATTTATTGTTATTCTCTTTCTGGCATCTTTTGTTGTTACATGCATTTCCTCTTGTTTCTTTTATGATATTATTGTCTCTCTTGTTGAGCTGGGAGTCTCCTGGAAACAATCTCTCTATCCTTTTAGGGTAGGGGCAAGGTCTGCGTACACTCCACTCTTCCCAGACTCCACTAATGAGATTTTACTAGGTATGTTGGTGTGTTGTTGTTGTCCAGCTAAGTTTTTGCAAATTTATCACCCAAAAAATAAAATATGCAATTGGATCAAATAGCCATTGTATTTAAAATAGAAATTAAGATACTAAGTATAAAGTGTGCATTGTGTATTAAGATGAAGAAAGAAGAAAAACACAATTATATTCTAATAGATAAACAATCATAATAAAGATTGAAAAATATAACATCATTGATTTTTAAATTTTTCTTCACATGCCTAAAGGAGTGTATATATCCATGTACTTTACAATGTCAATGTCCAGGAGTAACAACTATCAAATACCCAACTTCAGCGGTAATTAAGATATAATTTGTTTAGGGGGCGTAACTAATAATTTCGTGCGAAGCATAGGAATTTTTTTAAATTCGCTCATAGATTAATATGAATCCTTTAATAGTAAGAAATTCCATTATAATTTTACTTCTACTTTTATAAATGAAAATCTTCAGATGCATATGTCTACGTGCTTGAACGAAGAAAGAAAACTCACCCCAAAACGAAGAAAGGGTAGATTAATCAAAATATAGCGATTGAATAATATCTTTTGCAATAATAATTTAGTCATTTCTAATATGTTGGAATAATTCTCATGACATTTCTTTGGTCATAGAAATAGAATAATTGTATTTTTGTCCTAAGAGTTTCTTCTTTCTTTGAAAGTTAGTAGCTAATTAGGATCAATAATATTTAGAAACTTACACTTTTGTTAATTTTAATTTTATAATCCTAACACAAGTATTAATAGATTATTTATATAATCTTTTAAAATTATATTCATTGAAATAGGTGTACGCGCGTATCCTAAAACTAGTAACCTCATATGTGTAAAGAATTGAGAAACACACGCGTAACAATGAAGTATACAAATTACGGACATAATGTTGTGCGACCATTGGAGACAAAGGCATATGTATAATTAAACTCAATGGAATCATTATATTTTTAAAATTGTGGGATCAAAATCTACTATATTTTGTAATTTTAATAACTCGGTCCTGAGGTCCAAATTCATTAGAACTCAAATCGAACTCTTTCAAATTAAAATTTTGATATTAAATTTTTACTTATTTGAATGTTACAGGAAATCCTAATATTTAAGTATTTCATGCAGGAAGACTATATTCTTTTTCTATATTTCTTTCTACGATGTAGCCCTATAATTATTTAGTATTTCTAAAACGTCCCAACTAGTTAATTTCTTGTATTTCTTTCGATGCTTTTACTTACTCTTATTGATCTCCATTGCAAATTATTGCAAAGAGCAATCATAAAAAAAAAAACTTATTCAACATGAATAGTAATCACAAAAATACTTATTCAGCCCGAACTATGGCAGTTTAGTGGTAAAATTTAAAATTACTATATGATGGTAATTTAAGGAAATATTACGTAGCTTTTGAAATTTCATAAAACAATATATAAGTTTTTG